TTTAGAATAATTTGACTTTATAGTACTCAGTGTATTATAATATAATCCCATTTCAAGTCCTAGCTCTTTCCAATCGCTACTATAATAATGACCATCCTTCAAGTCTGTAAGGATACCATCTAAATCACATACACTGAGAGCTTCTACAAATGGAATAAAAGTATTGATTGATATTTTGATTAATTATACTGTACAAAGCAACATAACATACATTACGTGTATGTTTGATAAATTGTGTATGCAAACAGAATGGGCACACTGATATAGCTATAGTATGCCCCAGTATGCATAATAATTATTTTACTTACTGAAGTGATCAGCTGTTGGTTTTTTATCAAGAGACTCAACCAGAGTGGTCCAATTAGGTCCTCCACCATCAGGTCTCTGCAACCATTTAACTAGACACTCTCTAAGGCCCTCTTCAGCGTGAGAATAATTATAAGATAATCCTAGTTGCAGTCCCAACTCCTTCCATGTACTTCCATTGAAATCAATTAGGGATTCATCCAAATGCTTCTTAGTAAGTGGTTGCGGATTTTGTGAACCTAAAGTACATATTTGAATATTATAAGAACAACATACAACAAGAACTGTCCAAATTCCAAATACAAATTTTACGAGGATAAAATTTCACAACTTTCAATTCAGTAGCTATTTGCGGTTTGAAGTGAAGGCACTATGCTGCCATGAAACACTTTCCACATATCGGATATGCTTGCTAGCATACAGCCAGTAGTATTTATGTAGAATAAAATTTTGAAAGTCAGCAAATGTCAAAATTTAAACTGCTGTATATTTGTGATAACAATCTTGCTACTGATTACTAACCACCAACCATGGACTTTAATAAGTACTGTAAGAAAGTATAGAGGCAAAAATATGTTTTTAAAAGGACTGAAAATGGCAACAGGATAATTAAACTTTTACAATAAATATACTTAAAATTATACTTAGCACCAAATGCTTCATACCTTTTTCAGTCTCCTTCCTAGTTTGAGTAGTAGCTGTAGAAGTAGTACTGGCCACTGTAAAAAATAAAACTGTAAAACAAGTTCTACATTAACAAAGCATAATTGGGGCAAGCACAATTGAGCCCCACACATGGCAAACAAACAGAGAACAATGTTCTTTTCTTATTCATTAGACTAAAAGCTGACTTACATTGTGTAAATATCTACGTTAAACTTCTTGTTGTTGAAGTTTCAAAAAATGTAATAGATATGATAGCTCATGCTCACCCCCTCTATGTTTACATTATCAGTTTAGTTAAACAAAGCAGGGGCGTATCTAGGAATTCAGAAAGAGGGGTGCTGGAGGGTGCATGAAGTGCGCTGTAATTTTCCCCACACCCACTTTTACAATGGTAAAACGATGTTTTTTTTTATTTTCGTCAATTATGGGTCAGCAGATCAAGATAATTTTAGCACACTGATCCATACTGACTCTTTTAAGAGTAGTTCTGATTGCTCCCTAAAGCACTGGAAACTGCTGAAATCATGATCAGGGTGCTAGATAACTTTGTTAAGAGGCTTGGTAGTGATGCAAGAGTCCAGGACTTGGGTGCCGGTTTTTTCTGAGCCCAGCCATGAGGGGTTTGTCAACAAAAGCTCTCCGCAGGTTCATTTCTGTGTTCACCACTAAACACACACAATACAATCCGGCAGTGATATTAACTTACTCTCTTGCTCCAACTTGACAGCTGCATCATTCTCATCCATAAATTTCAAAGTAACTAACAGTGCGTCAAAGGTAGCTCCTCCTTTACTGTCAACATTATCAGCTCTGGACAACCACTTGAAGAGACACTCTGTCAAGCAGCGCCATACATCACGAGGATGATTCCTTTCAATGGCGTCCAGCGTGTTCTTGTATAGTCCTAGTATCAATCCCAGCTCATGCCATCTTGTCTGAGGGAAACCATATCGTTTTATCAAAATAATTAAATCACCAAGTTCCTCTATTTATATAAAAAAAAGCATAAATAACGTTACTGTAATACAATAATAAATTATTACTAGTAGTCAGAGGAGAAGTGAAGAGAGACAAAGAAAGAGGGGGATGTGCACAGCTGCTCTTCGAAGCCATGGCTGGACACTACACTCAGTGCACTGCCGCACCCAAAATCAGTGCCTCCACTGACGTCACTCGTACTCCAGATGAGTTTCCCTAAGTGGGCAGCAAAATTTCCCCCAAGACAATTCCTAGATCCAATGTCAAATTTCCCCCAGAAACTCCCTAAAATTTCCCTGTTTTTTGTAAAATATTCCCTTAAAATTTCAAAATTTTAAGAGAAAATTTTAAACTTAAAGAATGGATGCATGTCTGCCATTTTGAATTATCCAGCTGAAAATTTTATCATGTTTTGATAAAATGAAATGCATGTGCAATCATTAACATCATGGATGCATATAGGTTAATGTCATCAATATAATTAAAATGACTCATGAATTTAATTATAGACTTAAGTTAGTCAAAATTTCCCTAGATTACAGCATTTTAAAAAATTCCCTCCCTATTCCCTAAATTGACAAATTTGTCCCTAGATCTAGGGAAATTTCCCTAAATATGGAGGCACTGCCCAAAAATTGGAGCACAGCCACAGTGTAACGGGGTAATTTACAGACACTGGAATGCACGGCTGACGGGGCATGGTTATACATGCCAGCTAGCTCAGCAATAAAAATCCTGATGCTGTCCATTGCAGTATATCTGTGTCCCAGGAGTACATGTATGTACTTCTGTTAGTCTGTATGTATATAGCATGTTCAATGTACATAGTGTTGGCTGTGTTGCATATACACAGAGGCATATCTCCTTGCTTTTTCTCTTTTGTAAAGCTAATACAAACACAAAACTATACATATGGAACAGTGTAAAATAAAAAATGCATATGAAAAATAGAAACATAAGTAATGTAATGTCATTGCTCCTGTAATCATTATCTTGTTCATGTATCTACTAATGTATGGGATAAGGTAAATTATTGTGATGATTGATAGCTTACTGACATGAAGCAGCAATCCTGTCAGCTAATGTAGAAAGAACAACATGATCCTGTTCCCTCAGTATAGACAGGAATGTACTAATGTGATCAGGACAAATTTCAATTAATAATGTAATATTTCCCATAAAAAGTTCTACTCTTTTTGATAAAGACTGGTTATTCATTCCATCAAATAACTCATCATACTGAGAAGAATCAATAATTTGTACTTCTTTACAACCATTAGCTATGTCACGGAACTTTGCTTCTGAAGTAGAAAGGAAACGCTTCAGATCATTAAGGTGCTTCTTGAGGTCATTATGTGAACCAGGATTAGGAACATCTTTAGTACCAACAGAATGACCTGCATCTATACATTACACAATTGAATAGAACACATACATTGTATGTACATTATACCTAATATATCTCTCAGTGATCTGTTAATATTGATTTTCACTGGATCCAGTAAACCTTTCAATGGTATAGCATACTTCAGTACATGAACAGTATCAGGACGACTGCTGTCAGCATATATTGATACCGGACAAGATGGAGGAATTGTATTAATGTCAAAACCAAATTTATTTATCTCTCTTTCTTTAATCTACATGTATTATTAAATATACAATTTATAATGACACAAATGTACCTGACATGGTACTATATCAGGACTAACAATCCAACCAGTTATTGGCTCATCCTGAGGACTAAACACTAGCTCAAGGCATCCAAAACAAGAATGATCAAATTGAAATTTAAAATTTTGTCTGAGTTCATGCTGACGATATTCTCTTTTAATGAACTACAATAATTCAACACTGAGAATAAAGGCAATAACATCAAATATGAATACCTGAATTAGAGCATTTAAATTTTTAGCAGCTGCAAATCTTATTTTATCAGCCCTTTGATAAAAGACTTGTCCAGCATACACTGTAGCTTCTGGTATACCAGTGGAATGAGTAGATACAACTGTAAAAGTTAAAAGTGAATTTGTTACTAGTCAATTTCAATATTCATAGGCTCACTAGTTTTAGATTGTGATGTACTTAATTCAGTAACGGTCTTCAGTACAATCCACTGGACCCTTCAACCCATTCCCTTCCTCCTCTCTATCACTCCTTCCTACTCCACTAGCTCCTCCTTCTTGTCCTCCTGCTCCTTGTCCCTCTCCTCCTGTTGTCTCTCCCTTTCCTTTCCCTCCCTCATCTCCTGCGGAGTCTCCATCTTCCTCTCCATTCCTCTCCTCATTCCTACCTCCTCCATTTCCCTCTTCTTCCTCCCCAATAATAGCAATAGCTAATGACAGAACTTGCTTCATTCAATCCATCTATATCTCTGGTATGCTGGAAACTCCCCTCCTTCAATTAGTGAGAACTGGTAAGGAAGACTAGCTGTGTGAACTGGAGCAACAGCAAATTTAAGATACTTGGATAAAGAAGGATCACTGAGATCAATACAGTTTTGCATTTCTATCCTCAGTGACTTGAGGAGTGGACTGGTTGATATTGCATACACTGCACTCACTAGTCTAGTATTATCAGGAAACCTACAAAGGAATTAATAATTAAAATACATGTACATGTACATATAAAATGTATAGTGGGTAATTTTTTCAGGGAAAATTTTTGTTAATTCATACATCAAAAATTGAAATTCAGCAGAAAACATAATAATTACTATTTTGTTTGAGAGCAAAATTTATAAGGCAGTAATATTTTATTCACTAGACACATAAATACTAAATTATCAATTATTTTCCCTGACAGTAATTCCCCAGTACTAACTATATAGACATTACTGCATGTACAGTATATGTACTTGAAGTGTCCTCCTACAAGAGCTAGTACTGATACTTCTACAGTCTCTGATGCTGATAGACTGCCCTCTGTTATACTAATCCTCAGTCCATACTCCTCCCAGTTCATCAGTTGAGGTTTGTCTCCTTGAACTAAGAACAACTTCTTCCCTGCTATTTGGGACTCACTCAGACCTTCCAAATTATCTGTAGGAAAGTATAACAACTGAAATTATGTATTGTTAAAATGTGTATGTAATTATGGACAAAGATGAGACAATGAACCATAATTCATGTAAAGCTACACTGAATGACAATGTACAGTACATGAAGCAACTTTAAAAATTCATAAAAAATACAAATTTGACCGGAATCAGCTCAAACTTTCTACACAACATAAGGACATGTATATACATCAGAATATTTTTTTAAAATTAAAAATTTTCTATTTTTCAATTTTGGCGAAATTTGGTCCACTATAGTACAGGGACTAACCTTGTGATGGTACAAGATAGTTGAACTGAATTTCTTTGTCAAGAGCTAAAGTATAAAAGTGATAATAAATAAATAAATAAATAATCACATACTTGTTTGTGTTGTTTGTATTTCTTTGTTTTCAGTTTCAATTTGAGTCTCAACTTCATCATTTGAATCTTTTACTAAAAATAATGATAATTAATAAACATGTCAACAGTAGCTTCACAAACAACAACATACCATTAATATCATATTCTTCATCATTATTCATTGTATATTGTCCAGTAGGTAATTCATGTAAACCTACAGTGAATGACAATGTACAGTACATGAATATAATTAATATAACAATTAATAATATCATTAATGAATATCATTAACACCATTTCAGCGCACACACACACCATTTCAGCGCACACACACACACACATACCTGACTGGGTGATAGTGTACATACCTGTACCTGATACTTCCTTGTGATCTTTGGCTTGCTGTAGTTCTAATTCTTGTTGAAGATCATCAATCTTTCTTTGTAATTCCTCTTTCTCTCTTAGAGCAACTTGATTCTGTTTCATTAAACTGGAGGACGTTTTTATTTCTTCCTTTAACTTTTCTTGAAGTTCCTCCAGTTGTTTATGAGTAAGTTCATTGTCTATAGTATAATAATAATAATTGGAGTATATCAATCAATAATAATTATTAATATATAACATGAAATAACCTGATCTTAATTCTTCATATTGCTCTGTCTTGTGTTTCAAGTCTCCAACTTCCTCCTCTTGTTCAGTAAGTGTTGCTAGTCTCTTTTCTTTTTGAATGAGGTCCTCCTTCAGTTGAAGTATTTCTTCTTTATATTTTTGTGTAACTTGTTCATGAAATTGTTTCTCTTTTTTATGGAGTTCCTTTTCTTCCTTCAGTTCCTTTTGAATACTTTCAACTTTCTCCTGTAGCAACATAACTTGATCCTCATCCTTTTCTGCTGTTCCTATACTCAATAGTTACATTATGTATCATATTAATAATATTGATGTACCTGCTGGTACTTCAGTTGTTAGTGTGCAGGTATCTTTACTTTGTACAGTAGGGCCCACGTAAGTATCAGTCAATGAGTCTTGTTTACTATCGTCCCACATACTACCATCACTAATATCACCTCTAATGACATTTACTCTGACATACATGTACATGTAATGTGATAATAAAGCTGATGACAATCTCTGTACACCATTAAGTACTGAATAGCTAGTATCTTTATCAATGACAATTGTAATATAGTCAAGTAGTGATGGAACTTTAAAAAGCTCTTCTTCCAAAAATTGACGAAGTTTCATTTTTAATTTCTCAACAGCTCCTTTATATTCCTCAATAACTGCCGTAGCCTCCGCTATATTAAACTCATTAACAAGAACCTCCAGCACACTAATCTCATCAAGTGAACTGTTCTCATGTACTAATTGTAGAATGTTATGGACATCTTCACACTGAGCTAGCCGAGGCTTTAATCCTTTGTTGTATCCACCCAGTACACGTTTGATATCATCAATGAATGAAGACTGAGGGTTGCTCATCATGATTGATCTAACATTGATAAATGTTTCCTCCAACTTTAACCGGATCGAATAAAGCTCTGTAGTGACACTCTTAGGAAGATAAATCTTGAGCCCTTCAATAAAGTAATTGATGTGTTGTAAATGTATACAAAGTGTACATAAATTAATTCTTACCATTCTTATAATCACTCCCATAAATCTCTCCTATACAACAATCATTAGTTACTGGTATATGTTATAATACATGTACTTACTGTAGTCTCTCATGATAGCTCTTCCTATCTTAGCAGTGGCTGTGTATTTACATAAAATATC